CTCTTGTGGTTCTCATGCTTAAGGCCACTGTTCTCTTTACGGCATCTTTTGAAACTTGGAAGTTTCCTGAAAACCTAAGGTGCACAGGGAAATTCTCTAATGCCTCATAAAGGTGACCAAGGAAATGAAACTTTAAAGTCAGGTGTGTAAGAGAAGAGGAAATTACTTGCTTTTCAGAATCACCCAGGGAGGGAAACAGATGGCCTCAGGCCTTCTGAACATGAATTCCAGTTCTGAGCTTTCTTATTTACCTTTGGACTAACTCAGAATCCTGGAAGAGTTGCCTGTTTCAAAAACATTTCTGCTAAGTAAGATTATCTATCAAATCTTAGGCCTTTTCAGATGTCACCCACTTCATGGTTTAGCTTTGGCTCACAGCATTTCTTATTTCATATAAACAATATATACTGTTCCTAGAGTTTTCTACCCATATCCTATTGAGCCATCTTATGCTCATCTCATCTTGAAACACATCTTCTAAAGTTGCTATCCAGCACTCAGAACTTTGAGCCTAAAAATATTTCATGCGTGCAGATGCTGCATATTAAGGTGGACACACAACAGTTAGCTGGCTCCTAGACGGAGGTCACCCTTTGTTGTCATCTAAAGCTGAGAAACGGGAAGAAAAGAAACTCCTGTTTCAGTTCCTGCACAAACGAACATGTATTCTCTTTAACAACCATTTTTCAAATACCCTGTCATTGCTACAGTGATGAGTCAGCTTTGAGGGAATTGTTGTGACTTGTTCTTCCTATTATAACAAGCCAAATAGTTTTGGGTTGGTTGATCTCGGATTCTCAGAGGATTATTTATCTTGGGGTAGAGATGGGCTGCAATGACCAACCCCATACAGATGTTTAGTGATGACGGTGACGTCAAATGAGGCAAGCAGTTTCTTGGTCTGACTATACTAAGATTCAGCCAAAAGTCCACCCAGTGGGCATGCTCCAGAAGTTTGACTGGAATGACAAAAGAGTATGAGGGACTAAGACTGGGGTATGTGGACAGGCCAGGAAGAGAGAGGGCTGGAGCCAGATGAAAGGGTGTGTGCTCAATGACAGGATGGAGAAGCTGGGCAGAATTACAAAGGCTGGGACAAAGCAGCCCTTGTATGCTTCCAGAATCTCCACATCTGAGCCACTTTGCATTTTCTCACTAAAAGAATTGCATGTGACATTTAATATAAACCTGGCTGGGCAGGGTGGCATATACCTGTAACCTCAGTACTTAGGAAGCTGAGGCAGGAGGATTGCTGAAGAGTTCCAGGCTACACAGGACTACATTAAAAAAAAAAAAGAAGCAAGCAGTTAGGAAGAACTGGAGGATTAATGACTCCTACACACCTGGATGCTCACAGCAGCCTACAGCAGAATGCTTGAACCTTCATAGGCCCTGCCTTTCAGGTCTTTTTCTCAGACACATCTTAATCTCTCCCTTTAGAGGTTTTCAGTGTGAGGTGTCTGGGCCAGCAGCTGGAGCACCCTCAGAGCACAAGACAGAAAAGCTTACTTGCAACCTGACCCTAAACTGACTGAAAACGCTGGGGTGGGGCTGGGATTTGACTCAAATATCTCTGTTGACTGGAGCCTTCCAGGTGACTTTGATGCAGCTAAAGTTTAAGACCTGCTGTTTTAGATGAATTTTTTTTTAATGATATTACAATTTAACAATGTCAAGATGAGAGACCATGTGTGTTGTAGGAAGACTCGTGAAAGACAGGCCCACTCAAGTGTCAACTGAAGAATTTTCTAGTCCTGGTATTTTGAGACACATGAAAGGGACTTAAGGCTGTTCTGTTGGCTCAGGACCTCACCATCTCTTGCTCTGAATCTCACCAATTTCAAACTTCTCTCCACAGAGCGACTGGAGATATATAGTCATCCTGAGAATCTGACCTTGTTAACTCCAACTTAAAGCCCTTCATTTGGAGCTGGGAGAGACGGCTTGGGAGCCAATAACAGAGCTTGTTCCACAAGCATGAGGTCCTGAGTTCAAATAAATGGCTCAGCACTTGTGTAAAAAGTCTCAAAAACTTGTGACGAGCAGAGACAGGCAAATTGTAGGGCCTCGCAGACCACCAGCCTAGCTACAGGTACAATGAGAGACGGTGCCTCTAGAGAATGAGGAGAGGGTAGAGAGGTAGAGAGGTTACCCTAAATTCTCTTCTGGCTTCTATGTGCACAAATGGGTGTACACACGCACATGCGTGCACACACACGCGCACACACACACACACACATACACACACACACACACACACACACACACACACACACACACCTGTCTTCAGTGGCTACATCCTACCTGTAAGATAAAGTCCCTGTGTCTGGTCCACAAGCTGAAATCCTTCATTATCTGCCTATAGGTAACTTCCCTGACCTTGTTTTCATTCACAGTTTCCAATCTCCACAACCATTTCTCCCTAGCTGCAGGAAGCTTATACTAGCTCTGACATGCTTGGCCATGCCACTGACCTTGGTCAACAGGGCAGAGCTGCAGAGACAGCCACTGCTCACTTCCCAGCAGACTTTAAATATAATAGTGTTGTCCCATCTTATGTCCTTCCCTTTGCCATAAATGAAGTCAGTACTGTCCTCGAGGGGGGCTGATTTGCTGATTTGCTTTGCTTTTATGTTCTCTGGGACTGCAAATGAAGACACACGAGGACCCACCTGGACACACAGCATCAATGAGCATGAAGTCTGAGGACCACAGAGCAATGAGATCTGGGGTTACTTGTTATGTAGCTGGAGCAGACTACAGCAACACTTGTGATCCTTCTGTCCTGCTCATTGTAGCTTGCTATCAGTGATCTCACTTCAGCTCCTCTTTCTATCCTCAGCTCCAACCATCAACTCTCAATCTAGCCTTTATCTTTAAATGGTCACTGTCTGAACCTCCTCCTATGGATGCCACGGACATGTAACTGTGTCCAGGAAGCTGCATTATAGGTTTCCCATATACTCCAAATACTATTATTTCTAGCATAGTGTCTCTTCACTATTTAAAAAGATCATCATCCCTCGTGAGGAGGCTGGCTCAGAGAATCAAAGCTGGGTGCCCAAGTTTTCCAGCCCTAGTTGGAGCCCGGGCTCTCACCAGGTGGCTTTGTATTCAGCAATCTGCCCCATACCTCTGTCCCTCCCCTGCCACAAGCTTTCGGATCCTCCCACTCCACTGGAAAAGAAAAGTCTCCACCTCGACAGCTGAAAGCCAGACTAATCTCACGCATGCAAGATGTGCAGCGAGCAGTGCACCTCAGCCACTGGGAAGACACTCACTTTGTCTGTGTGCATGTATTTATCCCAAGGCAGACAAGGCGCTGGCAGCCACAGAACAGGGATAATTTGTCTAACCTTTCCCTCTGCAGGTCCAGGCTGCAGGAGTGTGTGTGTGTGTGTGGGGGGGGTAATGACAAGACAGGAGGATGTCCACTGAGAACAGAGGCCTTCAGGGTTTGTTCCTGAGGAGGAGGCAGGAGAAGGTTCACATCGCCAACAAGTGAAACATATGATACCTTAGGTTTGGAAACACAAATAAACATGTAGTCAAATGTCTATTTGACAACGTGTTAAACAGGTTAAACAGCAAAGAGGGGAGGATGCAATAGGGAAGGACTGAGGCAGACCACCAGAGTCAGACAGTCCATCAATTGCGAAAAATTAGAAACATTGGTTTTGATTTTTTTTTCTTGTCAGCTGATGGGATTTTGTTACGAGGCTGAGTGTGTGTGTGTTCCTGCTTCTTTCTCTTACCTCAAAAAAAAAAAAAAAAAGACTACAAGCCATGAAATGCTAAAAATAATTCCTACTCCAATCAGCCATGAGAGAGAGAAAGGAGAGAGAGAGAGAGAACACAACAAAAGTACCATGATATTCTTTTCACAAAACATCCATGGGGTTACAAAGCATTGATTACTAATTCAGATTCATTTCTCTTTCTCCTCCTTTCCCCATAGGATATATTTATTTCCTTCAAATGATGCCATCAGTCACATTAACATTTTTCTCCTCCACTAGTAGAAAACTGCTAAGTGCTCCAAATGACTGTGGGGCCAGTTTGGACAGGTCTGATTTACTCTTAAAACAATCACCCACTTCCCAATAGCAAGAGCCAGCATTTTTTGAATGCCTTTTGCTATGCTTGATATTTTTCAGACACTGGCTCATATAATTTCCCAAACAGCAAGTGTAATCAGTATCGTCACTTTATAGATAAGGAGAGCAAACTAAGGGCAGAAAGCATAAAGGAGAGAGAGAGGGAGTGAGAGAGTGAGGCAGGCAGGGCAGTAGCTGCATGAAAGCAGTTAATGATTCACTTACAGCCCTCAGGCAGCTCCTTTCAGCAGAGTCTGCATGGGAACACACACACACACACACACACACACACACACACACACACACACACACACACACACACACACACACTTCATCCCAGGAAGAGGCCAGTGTCCAACAAATCCACCCCCCATCTTCAACTATCCATCCCAACGAGAGGCGGTGTCCAGCAAATTGCTTGGCAACGCATGCAGGAAACTCCATCCAAGGCCCGGGGTCCAGGCGGCCCCTGGGCGCTGTCCAGCGGGCAGAGCGCCTGAGAGGCCAGCCTGGGGTCCCGTCACAGAACACCCCGAAGCCGGGGCGCAACGCCAGGGCCGGGATTTTGAGCGGGGGTGGGGCGAGACACCGTCTCCAAGGACACCTGTTGTCGCCTCCCCACTCAGGACAACGAAGTCGCCCTGGCCGACTTGGACCTCAGGGAAAGGCGTCGGCTGGCAAGAAGTGCTGCCGTGGGTGTGGGGAGGTCACGGGGGTCTCCCCCACGAATACCCCCGAGGAGGCCGCCTCGCCTCATCCCTCCCGCTCGGTGCTGGTGGTGCGCGTGGGCTCGGTACGCGGTGCTCGGAGATGCTCGGCGCTAGGACCTCGCGGCCGGGGCCCCGCGCCGTCCACCTGCGGCGCCTAGGTCGCCCCCCCCCCCCCGCCGGGGGTCGTACTCACCGGCGTCGGGGTGAGCGGAGACCCGGTGTCGGCGGGGAGGTCCGTCCCGCCGCCGCTCTCGCTGAGCTCCCTTCGGCTTGCCGCACCACCACTGCCCGCTCGCGACTCTGGGCTCGCTGGGCGCCCGCCGGCTCCGGGGGAGCAGCTCCCGCCGCTCCTGATTGGGCGCAGCGCGTGCAGGAGCCGCGTGCTGATTGGACAGGAGGCATGGGATGGGCGGGGCCACTCGGAGCCTCCCTGCCCTGGCCTAGGTTCCCACCGCACCTGGGGCCAGCAGGACCCTGCAATCCTCTGCTGTCCCCTCTGCAGCCCCGAGGAAAGGGACAGCGCTTCAGATCGTTACGGAGTCCCAGCTACTCCCCCTTCGGGCTGGTTGTTGTGAACGTCAACGGTGCTGGGATCCATTCTCCTCTGGCTTCCCCCATGCAAGCCACTTGGACTTGACGTTTCTTTCCCCATACTTTTTACTATTGGGTCTAGGGCTTGGACAGACGCCTGTAAACAGTAGGTGCCAAATAGTGTTTGCGAACTCAGAATTAACCCTACACACAATCTGTGGATGGTCCCTACCTACCAGGGCTCCCAAGAGTTCGGAAGCGGTTTGTCAGAGAGCCCAGAATCGTCAATATATTAAGAACGCCGTGCCGGGGGACTGGCGAGGGAAAAGAGCAAGATGAGCTGATGTCACCTACAAAGAACTTAATACCTAGCTGGAGAGGTGAGGCTGATTCATAACATAATAATTGCCCTAATATTAACATGGTGTATATTATTTGGCAGGCATTAGTCCAAGAACTTTATATACACTTTTGTAATCCAGAAACTCAGGAAAAGTGTTCCATAAAGCCACCTGTATGTGACGTAAGCCTTGGGGATAGAACATAGACGTTCTGAAGATGCCAAAATTGCATCTGAAAGACACCAGCAGGGCCCAATCCTTACAAGGGAGAAGGCGGGACCATAATTATTCCCACCGTCCATCTCTTCCTTCATAGCTCTTTAACCCTAAGCTCACCGTTCCCACCCACCTGTTCTGAATCTTTCTAAAATAAAATAAAATAAAATAAAATAAAATAAAATAAAATAAAATAAAATAAAATAAAAGCAAGCTGCGTAAGTCCTCACATCACTCTTAAATCACCTGCTCTGCCACCTAGATAGGCGATGGATAACAAAGCTCCATTTTCTGTCGTTTGTATTAACGAACAAGTAAATGGCACATCGCGTGAGACCGTTTTTTTCTACAAGCCTTTCCCTCCTGCGTTCTTAGGCTCACAGAACCCTTCAGAAGTGTGGCTTTTGGAAAAGTGCTTAAAAGACACCAGTTGGGATCCAGCTTGACCTGCTCTAACCACTGTTTGCGTCTCTTCCAGGTTAAGAGCAACAGTCAGAAGGAGACATTTACCTCAGTTTTCAGTCGTTTATATTATTGAACAGACTTTATATTGGAAAAGCAGAGCGGGCGTGGGTTGAGCCTCACTTGGTTGGAATATGGAGTAAAACAGGACAGAGAGGCAAGGTGAAGGAAGTCCTTTCTGGGCATCCCTCTTCCAAGCTCGTGCATCCAACAACTTGTGACTGCTAGCTGATCACTATTTATGGCCGTGGCTTTTGCCAAAGCAGAAGCCCCATTTGAATTACTCATATGCTCACTCCAAAGACGGGGCATTCGTTTCTGTCAGAGTTGGAGGCTGACCCAAGATGATGTGTCAAACAACTCGAAATTCTGGTTGCTTTGAGCTAACCTCAGCCCACAAATGACAGGGGAAAGAATGAAGATGGTGGAGTCTAGTCTCCTTCGGGTGAGGTCACTTATGCATAGCCTCATCTAGAAAAAAAAAATGCTTCACTTAGTCCTGACATTTCTTCTTCCCTGACTGGTACTTAGCACTGAAGACTGAACTAAAATGTCCTCTTCTGTGTGAGGCCTTCACCCAGTCTCCAGGCACAAAGCAGCAATGTTCTATCCATCTTTTACAAGTCTTCTTCAACTAGAGCACTATGCATTGCCGCACAGAGTAACCTCACTACCTAGCTCACCATCAGAGCACAGTAGACACTCTGTAAACAAGACTAAAATTCCCAACAGATTGATAAAGTTCTGGCCACACCCCTCTCCTAAACTTCAGCGGGGTACCCTCCAGTTCCATTCAATCTAACTGTAAAGGAGTAGTTCCTGTATGTTGGAAACTGTTAAGTAAAGAGAAAAATTATATCTTTATTGTATGTACACAAGGTGAAGTGAGGTTGTATAGCTGATATGCAAGACAACTTGGCAGTTTCTCAAGAAATTGGACTTAAAGTTGCAATATAACCCACCAATTCCACTTATATCATCAAGAAAGCTGGCTGGGCATGGTGGTGCATGCTTTTGAACCCCAACGACTCTGGAGACAGAGGCAGGTAAACCTCTGAGTTTGAGACCAGACTGCATAGCAAGTTCCAGGCCAGCCAGAGCTACATTTGGACCCTGTCCTAAAAAAGAAAAATAAGTAAAATTTAAAAAAAAGAAAATGCAAAGTGTATGTCTGCATAAAAATTTGTTGGAGAATATTCATACTATTGTTATCTATCCCAGCAGGAAAGTACAAAGCCAAGATGCTCATCAATTGTTCATCAATAACAGCAAACACTCAGTGCAATGGAGTATTATTTAGCTGCAAATACAAATAAAGTACTGATGTTCATTACAGTGTAGGTGAATCTTTTAAAAAGAGTTATGCTAAGTGAAAGAAGTAAGAAGCCAAAGGCCACATAATATATAATTCCATTTCTATAGAACAACTCCAACAGGTAAATCTTTAGAGGCAATGTAGAGAGCTGATTAGTGGGAGACAGGAAAGTGGGGAGTAAGTGCTTAATGGTGCCCAGCTCTCCTTTGGGGTAAAATACCTCATAACTACAGAAAGAACGTCTGCTGACTTGTGAAAACCAAATCTGTTATTACTATAGTGCATACACTCTGAAAGGGCAGAAAGTGCTCAGTGGAAAACATTAATCAAATCCTAAAATGAAGTACCTGAAAGCACACTTCTATAAGTGGAGGCTCTTTGGTTGGACTATGAAGGAAGCTAAATAGGACTCATTTAGACCTCATGTTCCCACCTCCATCATCCCAGAGAGGATTTGCTTCTCAGATCTGTGTTATCTAATAGAATAGTCTATGAAAATAGAAACATTCCTTTTATCTTTTTCTTTGTGGGTATATTATTTTGATATTAGGCTGACGTGGAACTTAACTCTGTAGACAAGGATGGCTTTGAAGCCCTGATCCTCTTGTCTTCACAGGATTTCAGCTAGCAAAATGCTTTTTAGCTGAGATATTCAATAAGGCAGCCACTAGATGTGTGGCTATTGGATTTGAAACGTGGTTCATTTTGACTTGAAATATTGGGAGATTTTTTTTTGTTATTGTTTTCTGATACAGGCTTTCACTGTGTAGCCCTGGCAGTCCTGGAACTCCCTCTGTAGACCAGGATGGCCTTGAACTTGCAGAGATCAACCTGCTTCTGCCTCCCAAGTGCTGGGATTCTTGACATACTGAGTTTTAAGTTGTACGGAAATGTGAATAGCTACGTGTAGCTAATGACTCCCAACATGGCATTTTCAAACCTGACCTGGTTTGAAGAATTAGAACCATCTAGCCACCTGTGATGGTGCATGCCTTTGATCCCAGCCCTGGAGAGGCAGAGACAGGCAGATCTCTGTGGTTTGGGTCCAGCTTGATCTACAGAGTGAGTTCCAGATCAGCCAGAGTCACACATGAGAATGCCAACAAACAAACAAACAAACAAACACATTAGAACCATCTTAACTGTCAAGAGAGTGGGAGAGCCTGTTTCTATGCCCACAGGCTGGCTCAAGCCTGTACCCACCAGAAACTCTTCCGGAGCATCTCACTGTTCCCATCTCACTTTGCAGCATCTTCATGAGCATCAGCCAACCTGGGTTAGCTTTGTCATTACCCAAAGTGCTTTCTTCACAAGCATGTATGCCTCAGTCAATTAATGGGTCATAACAGAAATAGGAAAGAGTAACGATGTCAGGCAACTTCAAAGTGCGGCTCTTAGGCTAGAGAGATAGCTTAGTAGTGAAGAGAGAGTATTGTTCTTACGCAACTTGTGTTTCATGTCCAGGATTCATATCAGGCAGCTGGTTGAGAGGAAGGGAAGATTAAAGAAATCCCGTTAAGGGGCATTTCCCTTCCTTCCAACACCTCCATTCAATGCTTTTCCAAGTAGAAAATTTTTCTACTAAGATGTTGGTATTGTAGCACCTTACTATTTGCAGCATCACATTTAGTAGATTTGGGGGGAGGGGAGAGACACTGCTCTGGAGAGCATGTAGATGTGGTGGCCAGAGGGTGATTTTCAGAAACTGGTTCTCCCCATCCGCCACTTGTTTTCTGGAGACAGAACTCAAGTGGTCAGGCTGGGGAACAAGTGTCTTTTCCCGCTGAGCCTCCTCCTTACCCTGAAGAATCTTTTAGATTCCTTTTCTTCCCCACTCCAGGTTTGGCAACATCTTCTTAACTCCCTCGGTGCACCTCTGATGGTACTTTGATCGAACTTGAAATCAATAGTATAGAATGAAGTTATTTTTCTAAGCTTTGTTCTATAACATAGTCTCCTCCGAGTCCAGATTCATTTGTTACATAAATATTTACGGATCTTGTGTATTTTGTGCCCTAACAGCCCTAGGTGCTATGGAAAGAAAGAATGACTCATTGCCACTCCGATCCTGGCAAGGGGGTACACAAATAGCATCGAATGAGCAAATATCGAGTGTTTAGGATGGTGCCTGGTGTGTAGTGATAGGAACTGTTAGATAGCACGGATATTGTTATTTTAGATTATTTAAAGCTCACAGTCAAGTTTTAGGATTAGGGGTACAGTCAGTGGTAGAATGTTTGCCTAAGTATACATGAACCCCCGAGTGCCATCCCATGTGGTGAAAATAAACAAACCAATTGATAAGAACATGAAAATTGTTCTTTAGCATCTCATGTGGCTTTTATTTTAAGAAAGCTGCATTTTTGGTGATCGTAAACAAGAAAGAACAGAGCAGACTTGGAGTGT